TGCATGGCGCACATTTCCGATCACTTTTGATCGATATTTTATCGATAGATAACACTCACAGTGAAAAGTAATGTTAGCTGATAAAGTTATTCCACTATACTTTGAGTTAAAGCAGTAACCAGATACATGTAAAAATCGAAAGGGGCAAAAGCATGCAGTTAAAAAATTAAAAAAAAATAAATATTAAAAATTTAAAAAATTAATAATTCGAAGCATAAGGCAGTGATATCTACTCATCCAGTTCTATAATCTAATTATTATTCTTACTGTAATTTGACTGCACATTTACTACTATTTATTATTTCCTCTTAAATTATTTCTTTAACATCTCTATCATCGATATTCAGTATTATGTACTTGAACCTACAACGAACGCTGTCCAGCAGTCTCCCAGTATTGGGGTAGGGGATTGCATTTACACGTTGGCAGAATGACAGAATGAGATCCAGCACTGATGCTGCTGCGGACGGGGAATGGGGCTGTGGGGGGGACCCACTCGTCGGCGGTGTATAAGCCGGGGCAAAAGGCGCCAATGTTTGCACCGCGGGGCGCACTCGGATGCAGTGAAGCGAATTTTTGCGAACAAACGAAACCACTTACCTTCGGTCGAAGCATATTTAGGCGATTTTATTGCATTGCCTGTGAAATGAGAAATAAAACAATGTTGTCGCTGGAACCCATCTCCTGTGAAGGGGTTTGTGCAGCTTCGCGGGCAAGGGAAAGGGCCAGGCTCGAGCTTCGAGCCTCGAGGTGGTTTTTGTGGTGCGTATCGGCTGGATTGGACTGGCCTGGCCTGGCCTGGCCTGGCCTGGCCTCGCCTGGCGTATGCTTTCTATTTGCCGAAGAGGACGAGCAGGAAGGAAGTTGTGAATCTTATGGAGAACGCATGACAGCTTTACTGGGCCGCCACAGATTGTTTTCGTCCCCTGGCTCGACCCGCTCTCGCCCCTGCAGTTAGTTGTTCTTCTTCTGTATTTTTTTTGTGTTTTTAGTATTTTGGTCTTTTGGCCTGTAGCTTTCCCTTTGTTCCTGCTGTGTTTTTCCTTTTTTTTTGTTTGTAGTTGCTGGCTGGCTTTTGCCAAAACATTTGAAAAGTAATCGTTCAACGAACCGATTGACAAGGTAATCTTCCCGAAAACATGTGTTGGCAATATCAAGGCCGTGCATGGGTCCAGCTTCAGCCCAGCCCAGCCCAGCCCAGCCCAGACCCCCCGCCCACACACACACACACACACTCACACAGAGCTATCCACACATCCGTTAGACCGGGGTCCAAAGTGGCAGTGAACAAAGGTTTTTGTGGCTGGCAAAGTTTGGCCAAGAAACGCCACCCCGACCCCACCCCATCTTCCACCAGAGGCTAAACTCAAATGCCAAAAAGGGAATGAAAATGATGAAGAAAAAAAAAGAAGGAAGCGCCGGTAAAAGGGCACACGTGATAAGGTGGGGCGGGAGTAGGGCGAAACTTGAAGCCTCTGATAAGATTTTGGGCCGAGCATTGAAAAGGGTTTTTGCGTCCACTCCATCAGGGCTGGGGATGCACGGCCAGTGGCAGTGGCAGTGGCAGTGGCAGGGGTGTGGGTGCGGGTGCGGGTTCTTGGGCTACGTTTTTCTCGCTTCATCACTTATGCATGCTTTGGTCTATTAGATTTCCGTTTCCGGTTCAACTGTAACGCATAAAAGTTACACAACGTGTTTGAGGTTTTACGCTCTTTTGGCACACACGTCAATGCGATTTGAACCGCTAAGGCTCACACACCTGCTGTAGGTCCTGCTGCTGATTCTGCCTCTGCTTCTGGTCCTTTCTTCCATCCTTCCTTCCTGCCTTCCGATTCTCGTATTTCGTATGCCCAAAGCACACTCACCAGCCATCAGCCATCAGCCATGGATGGGCTTGATGTTTTATATATTTCTGTTGATTATTATTATTTTTATATTTTTGCTGCTGAATACACTTTCCACACAAAAGGTGCATGGAGCATGTGGATTTTGGATAGCAATTCCTATTTATTATGGGGATTTTTTTATGTTACAAAACAGCCAATAAATTGAATGATTTTCTGTGTGTTGTGATCCTTTTTTCCACATTTTATATTGAAGTGAATAGTCAAGTACTGATGAGCTGTGATATCTATGAGATCTATTAAGGGTACTCTTTTTTTTTGATCAGTTTCATGTATTTCTTCTCCTCCACCTCATTTGGACAATTCAGATCCCTGTAAGCCTATAAAATATGTGATAGATAAATATATTTTTTTAATTTTCGTGTATGTCATTTGCTGGCTTTCTCTTGAGTGTTGCAGCCTTTTAGTTAACTTAATATTAACTCAATTTATAATATTAAAATCTGATAGATATACAGTTGCATCTCCGGCTCGTTTAGGGCATTCAAAGTTCGTTCTTTTGCGCGTCTGGAGAGACCTTTCAAATACTTTCGCAACTCTTTGACATTGAAGCCAAAAGCTCTGTCAGCTCTTTTGTTCTGGATGTTGTTGTTGTTCATATAAGCATTTAATTCGTTCTATGCCGTTGGAATCACACCGATAAGGACGAATGGAAGGATGGACAGGCCGGACGGCACGGTCAGGTCAGGTCAGGTCGTGCATGGCTGGATTGATGGGTGGAGAAGAGTTTTTCCACCAGTCACCAGAAAAGACAAAAGGGTTTCCGATATGGGCAAGGGGTTGGGCTCTCTCTCTCTCTCTCTCTCTGATGCACGGGGCTTATCCCCATTGAGAGTTATTGTTGCTGATTTCTTAAGTGGCCCTCACATCACATCCCAGCTGCCTCTGTGTGTGTGTGTGTGTGTGTGTGTGTGTGTGTGTTTGGTTGTTGTTTCTGTCCTTTCCTGTTCCTGTTTCAGATATGCAATAAATAAAGAAACACTCGGCTCACCCATTGCTCGTACCATGATGGATCGGCCAGCCAACTTTTCATGCATATTAATGTAGATTTTAGCAAAATCTTTCCAAGCTTATTTTTGGATGGAGATGAAGAGATTTCCATGAATTTCTTAACACTGAAACATCATTTCAACAGTTACGATTTTTTAAGCCCAGCTCCAAAATATGGGAAATGCCTGGAAGCTTCAAGCGAATTAAAGCCAAGAAAAACGAATCAATATATGAGGATATGAGCACAATATAGGATAGACAGGATATAGGGATAAGAAGGGATAAATATGGGAGATTTTTTATTCATTTAGGAGAAGTAAGACGACGATCGTGAATAAAATATCATTATAGTTTTGACAATATTATGACATGAAAGAGGTGGTACGTTTAAGGGTTTTTTGATTTTTTCGAGCTCGGGCAAACTGCTCGCTGCTTTGACATCTTCTCCATTTGTTAAACTAAAACTTGCCTTTCCAAATTATTTTTTTGATTTATTTTTTAAATATCAAGACGAAGGCTTCTTTTTTAGAACTCTTTAAAATCGTATTAACGTTTGGATTATTAAATTAAAGAATTTTAAAAATGATTTAAATAAAACAACTTGCAACTTTTACTTGGCATTCATGGGAATATAGATTATAGAATATAGTTTGAATAGATTATAATATAAAAAGTAGTAGGTTTAAATAATAGTAGCACTAGTAGTAAAAAATAAGTAGCTAAAATTTCTCATAGTAGCAGTGGCAATAATAAATACAAGTATTTAGTTTTAATAGTATTTAATACAAAACAAATATAGATTTCAGACTGTGCAGAGTTACTAGCTAAAGTACATTGCCCACACACTTTATATCTATTATATTATATATGTAAATTCAGGTTAGTTTAGGAGACTTTCAGACTGGTACTCCTAGGAATTTGTTTGTCATCTAACTGCCATGGGTTCCAAGTCCCATACATCCTAGGCACTACGTTCTACTGAAACCTATTTTAGTTGCCTAAAATGTTGTGTAATCTTTCCTTATTTATGCACGGGCTCGGCTCTCCACTCGCTCTGGGATAATGTTCCTACCAAAAATACATTGTTGCAGCTTGGCGCCACTAAATGGCATTGCATATTTAAGCATTGTTTTGTATTAAGGTCGCAAATGAAAGAAGCATGCGCCAGTGAGTGTGTGTAAATGATTATAAGTACGGGTATAAGTAGGAGTACGAGTACGGTACACCATATGGCAGTGTACACGTACTCCCCGTATGTAATGGACAAGTGAGAGCACGAGTATGAGTACGAGCATGGAGTGTATGGGGATATACACTCGTACTGGTACATATGTGGTACATATATGGAGGTGGATGTGGGATACGGATACCATGCCCCCCCCCCTCACCACCTTGGTTGGTTCCTTATGGCTGTTAACCGTTGTTTTCTGCGTGTCCGCTGCAGGCTTAACGATAACATTGTGGCAATTTTATTTACCCACAATCTGTTGTTTTTCCACCTCGGTCTCGAGCTGGGGCCTCGATACGATACAATACGCTAGGATAGGATAGGATAGGATAGGACAGGACAGGACACCACACAGCACAGCACAGGATACAGTTGGAGAGAGAGAGAGAGAGAGTCAGTGGCACAGACAGAGCCGCGAGTAAGAGCGTCCTGCCAACAGGAAGGAAGAGAACGAATTTCAGCGGAAGGAAACACTAAAATGTTACTTTAAATAAATTGCACCACACCGAGGCTCTGGCGCTCGGCGCTCGGCGCTCTGTTATTTTCTGAACGTGTGGTGTGCCACTGCTGCCGGGCGGGCTCCTGCCTGCCTGCCTGCCTGCCCGTTCGTCCTAGGGGAGGGCCATTGCCATTGCAATGGTGAATGGCGTCGGTGTGTGCTGCCCCAGGCCCAGGGGTGACATGGACAACCACACACACACACACTTACTCCCAAACCATTTATCCATGAGATACACCCTACAGACACTCACTGGCCTGCCTGCCAGCCAGCTAGCCAGCCAGCCAGCCAGCCAGCATGTGCAGATACGTACGATACGAGTACTTGCAGGGCCCGTACGACGCTGCATTTATTTATTTGGACACTAACGCCCTCGCAGTGCCAGTGGCAGTACCAGTGGCAGTACCAGTCCCAGTCCCAAAGCCCGTGCCAGTGCCAGGATAGGGCCCAAAGGCAGCTAAATTTACGAGCTCCCTTAATCGATCTAAAATTAAATGGCTCGCTAGAATCAACCCTTTTGTTTTCGAAGCGAACCAAACCAAACCAAACCATTTGCCAACTTCCATTTTGCATTTTAAGCCACGAGTACGGCTATCTGCAATCCCAATTATTATCAGTTCTGCAATTTGCAATTGCATTTCCCTCCACATACGAGACTAGAAGTTTAAACTATTCCTTCAAAAGCAGCCAAAACATATCCAGTGCCAAAAGTCCAATCCTTGCCTTATGCAAAAAGAAAAACGAGTCTCTCAGAGTTTTTGCACCATCTTTTCCTACGAATAGTTTTGATTTTTTAGGAGTTTCTACAGTTCCGATATTCACTATAACTATGCCAAAAAATATTAGCTATAAAATAAGGCCATTCAATTTAATTACTTGCGAGCATTGCGTCAGGCTCCCCGAATTTCGCAATGGTATCAAAACAAAATCGACTCATCAGCGATGCAGTCAGTGCTCAAAAAACGAACCCCGTGCAGTAATTGCTTGATACAAATGCAAGAAACTATATTTTGCGCTTCATATATACGAAGAATATTAGAGATCGCATGTGTCGAAAATATGTCACACATCAGGCCAGAAACTCTCAGTGATAAAAGTCACAAAAGAGGTACAAAAAAGCTGTGCTATGGCTGGGTTTCAATTCTAATCTAATGCCAAGGCCCCTGGACAGCTGAGTCGTTACGCCGAATGCAAGAAAAATATACACAGCCTTTGGCTTTTTTTTGCAGCGCATGCTCGTATTTGGAAACTCAGTTTCAGTCTTCAGATACCTAAAGGTACTTGCCCAGTTATCATATGACAAGCTACGATTATTCCCTGCACATATAGCATAGAAAAGAGCATCGCAGGCAGCACTTTACCCCCACAAGAGGAAGAACAACAACAGCATTATGATTTATGATTTTTCATTGATATTTTATTGCAAACATATATAGCTTAAATATGAGTTGAAGGTATTTGCCTGGTTACTGTTTCAGAACTAACTAACTCACTATATAATTACTTTAGGATTGGTTTTTGTGTAATAAAAAGAAAACAACACAACTTCGGTACGGTTTTTTGTTTTTGTGATCATTCGCGATCAGTTGATGCGTTGATCAGTGATCATAGATCGGGTAAGTCAATAATCAATAATCAGTAATCAGTTTTTGTTTTTTTTGTTTTTGTTTGTTTGTTGGTTTCTTCCTAGCAAGCGTTTCGTCGTTGACTCATCTCATCATCGTTACATATCATATACAAAATACACTTAGGGATTCAATTACGATAGCAAAAAAAAAAAAATATATATATATATATATATATATATATATGTATATATATATATTCAAATACATTAATTATTAGGCGCTGGCTTAGTGGCTAAACGGTACTTACATAATCGAGTATCACTAACAATATATATCGTTAATTATTTCTTTATTTTTTTTAGTACTTGTTATTATAAGTATTCACTTTCCCTCGATCTTTTCTTTTTCCCCTTTTATGCTCCACTACTCCAATCCAATCCAATCCAATCCAATCCAACCCATTCATTTATCAATTCTCTACAACTCGATCGACGCTTTGTGTACATCAAAAAAAAAAAAAAACAAACACTTTTTTCCATTTTATAAATACAAGTTAAAAAAAAAAAAGGGACTCGCACTATACGTGTGTGTGTGTGTGGGTGTGTGTACTCATACTCATATCTGTATATGTATATATATATAGAAAAAAAATGCTAGTTGATCCATCTAATATTTTATATTAGCATTAGCCTAGTAAAATTTTATTATGAGCGGCAGGGCATCCATCTCCATCCTCCATTTCCTCCTTGTTTTATCGTTGTGAATTATGAGCAATGCTGTAGTCCTACGTTTTAGCCTGATATTGCATGAATGAATACATATATATATATATATTATATTCTGTGGTGTGTGTGGGTGTGTGTCTGTCTGCATGACGTGGGATTGGCCAAGGCGGCGACGGCAGCTCGTCTGATCGTTCGATTTCCGTTTTTTTAGTGATAAAATGCCAATGCCTTGGCATAGTACGAGGTACATGGTCATGATATGCGATCGGGACTCTGCCTTTGGCCCGCCTCCTGCTCCTCTGCTGCTGCGGCTGCGGCTGCCGCTGGCTGCTGCTGCTGTTGCATCTCATAGTCCGGCGTTACCGAACGGGATCGTGGCCGCAAATACTGCGACTGCGACTGCGACTGGGGCGAACTCTTCGACACCGGCGGCGTGATCGAGTGCTGCGAATTCGAATCGGAGGAGGTGCGTCTGCAGAAGGGGCCCAGTCCGCCGGCAGCAGCAGCAGCACCCGCGGCCAGCATGTGCGGCGCCAGCTGTGGGAAGCGTGGCAGTCGCGGCAGACCCGCGAAAAGCAGCGGATTGCCGCCATGATTGAGCAGCAGCCGGGGATCGCCGCTGCCCATGAAGGCATTGGCACTGGCACCGCCATCCCCGAATGTCGTGGGCGAGTGCCCGTGCCCGTGACCATGGCCATGACCCACAGCGAAGCGATGCTGCAGTGCCTCGAAACAGAGCGGCACACTCAGGCCATGGGCATGGGCGCCTGCGCAGATGCGCGCCAATATCTCCGCCTGAATGTTGCCGGGCACCACACCCACCGGCGGGCAGCCACCGAAGCCGCCCTTGTTGTTGTTGAGGTTCACATTGAGGCTCATTAAATCGAGCAGGGGATCAGTGCCGGTGCCGGTGCCTATGCCAGTGCCTATGCCAGTGCCGGGCAGGTGGCCGTGATCATCGCTGGTCGAGAGCAGCTTCCGGTGCAGATTGAGATTGGAGCTGTGACGATCGCGGCTGCGCTTCGAGGGGAATGCCGCATTGCAGCCATCGATGTTGCACTTGTGGTGGAGCTTCAGATGGACGCTCTGGTAGTGCGTCTTCAGGTGGAAGTGATTCTGAAAGATCTCCCCACAGGCGGTGCACTTCAGTGGATTCTCCTTGTCAATGGGCACCTCCGGTTCGGGTTCCGGTTCCGGTTCGGGCTCTGGCTCCGGTTCGGGTTCTGGTTCCGTTTGGCGTTCTCTCTGCCCCTCGTGGTGGTAGGCCTCCGCCGCCGCCGCCTCCTTCTCCCGCTCCTCGCCATTCGCCAGCGTCTTGAGCAGCGCTCCAGCAGGTGTGTCCGTTAGCACGTTGTTGTTGTTGTTGTTGTTGTTGATCCTGCTGCTGCAGTCCTGAACCTCGTCGGTGCCGAGCAGCTCCTGCTTGATGCGCAGATAGCGATTCTCGTCGTTATCATAGCCAAGGGCGAGCTCCTCCAGCGGCTCCTGCTTGATGGCCCCAGCGCCAGCCGAGGCCAGCGAGAGGTCCAGCGTGGTGCATCCCGCATCCTTTTCCGTCTCCATTTCCGTTTCCGTTTCCATTTCCGTTTCCGTTTCGTCCGGCAGCTCCGTCTTGATGCTAATGCTGACCGGCGGCCTGCCATCCCCGGGCGTGGTGTACGGCGTGAGCGGTGGCGAGGGAATGGCCTTGGTGGACTCGCTGTTCGAGCTGGAGCTGGTCAGTCCCATTTCCGTTTCTTTGGCTGATGCAGCGTGCTGCTCCCCCCCACATCCACCCGCTGCCGCTGCCGCTGCAGCTGCTGCTCTGACTGTGGCGCCTGCTGCTGCTGCTGCTCCTGCCACCGCGCTGCCATCCGCTGCACCCAGTCGTATCTTCTTGATGGAGAGATCGGCGGCCACATCGTAGTCGAGCGAATTCTCGCACGAATTCTCGTCCGACTGGACCGTGCAGCGTACGGGATTCTGGCTCTTGCGCTTCCGCTTGCTGGCCGAGATCTGGCCATGGCCATGGCTGGGCGAGTGGGCGTCCTGCTGCTCGTCCATGGCCTCCAGACCATCCGCCGTCACTTTGCCCGGGCTGGGCTGCTCTTTGGTTTGACTGTGGCTCTGGCTGTGGCTGTGGCTGTGGCTGGAGACGCTCGCATCGTCCTGGTCGTGGTCCAGCATAAAGTCCTGATCGTGGCCATGGCCCCGCCTCTCCGGTATGCTGTCCAGCTCGTCGCCCACCACCACAATGCCATCGCCATCGGGATCATCGTCATCGTCGTCGCCATCCCCGTCGCCGTCGCCGTCTCCATCGTCGTCGTCGTCATCGTCGTCGGGCATGTGCATGCCCACCTCGAGTATCTCATCATCCTCGTCATCGTCGTCGGCCTCCACCTCCAGCGCCTTGCGCCTCGGCCCCTGCCCCTCGAAGCGTCCGCCCACCAGCATGCCCCCATTCTCCATATACGACCGCTGCAGATACTCCTGGCCGTGCTTCAGATCCATGGCCGAGCCCCCGCCCATGGCCGGGTGATGGCGCAGATCCGGGGGCGGTGTCAGCAGCGGGAAGCTGCCGAAGGGCGCCAGCCCGGCCATAATGCCGTTGGGCGCCTGCAGCAGCAACGGATGCGGCTGGGCGCTACGTCCATCGTGCGGCGAGATCTTTCGTCGCAGATGCGGCGAATGGAGCTTCGGATTGGGATTGGCGCTGTGCCGATTGCGGGATCTGCGCGAGCTGAACATCATGCTGCAGCCATCGACGGTGCACTTGTGCATCTCCCGCAGATGCACCGCCGAGAAGTGGATCTTGAGGGCGCCCTTGTCGCAGAAGGTCTTCAGGCAGACGTTGCACTGCACCCGCTTCTTGCCGGTCACCGGATTGATGAACTGCGTCCCCAAATTCGCGGGCATGGAGCCCCACTGACGCTTGCTGCCGCCACCACCGCCGCCGCCGCCGCCTCCTCCTCCGCCGCCGCCGGGTGAGTGCGCCTTGCGGCCAGAGCGCAGGTTGGAGGACAGGGCCAGGCGTGTCATGCGCTGGGAGCTCGAGCCGGAGCCACCGGAACCGCCCGAGCCCGAGCCAGAGCCGGAGCCAGAGCCCGATCCCGAGGCTGTCGAGGAGGAGCAGCTGTTGCTGCCCTTATCCAAATGACGCGATGACTTGCCCGAGGATTCGTCTGCGCCCCCCACACCTCCGGTGTTTGATTTTTGGTGGTGCGAGTGCTGCGAGTGCTGCTGATGCGAATGCGAATGCTGGTGCGGATGTTGGTGCTGATGCTGATGCTGGTGCGGATGCGTATACTGGTGACTGTGACTGTGATTGTGACTGGGCGAATGGTTGCCGTGACTGTGACTGTGACTGTGTCCGTGTCCATGGCCATGTCCATGGCCGTGACCGTGACCATGTCCGTGACTGTGGCCATGGCCATGGCCCATCTCCGGCGTCTGATTGCTCTGCGACTGCGTGGACGACGAGGACTGCGACGTGGACTGCTGCTGCGGTGGGGGCGGCGGTGGTGGCGGCGGCGGCAGGTGATACGGCAGCGGATGGCCCGCCATGGCCATGGCGCTAAAAAATTGATTGCTTTGGGCGGCTGCCGCCGCCGCTGCTGCAGCAGCAGCCGCCACCGCGGCGCTCTTCTCGCCGGGCGTGCTGGCCTCGCTGATCCGTCGCCGTGCCTGGGCCAGTACGGCGGCCTGCTGCACCGCCTGCTGCTGCAAATGCTGCTGATGGTGGTGCACAAACTCGGTGGGGCTGGGCGGCAGCGGCGTGGAGAAGGCCCCCAGGCTGGCGGTGCTGATTTTACGAAAATCAAAGGGCTGCATATTCTGCAGATCGCTCAGCGGATTCATTTGGGCGGTGCTCATGCTCATGCTCGTGGCGGGCGGGGACACGGCCGTCGAGGCCGTCGACGCTGGGGCCGTGGAGCAGGCAGCGTGCTGCTGCTGCCGACTGCTGTTGGTGGTGTTGTTGTTGCTGCTGTTGTCCGTCGAGGGCGAGGGCGAGGAATTGCGGAAGTAGCTGGCCTCCGAGAGCTTCTGGTGCAGCTGGCTCTGCAGATGCAGCTGGGCATGGGCCAGCGACGAGAAGTGGGCGCTCATAGACTGATGGCTGCCCCCCACACTCGCATTGGTGTGGGTATTGTGGTTGTGGTTGTGATTGTGATTGTGGCTGTGGTTGAGGTTCAGTGGATGTCGCAGCGGCAATGTCAGTGGTAGCGGCAGTGGCGGCGAACTGCGGCGACTTGGTGTCATCACCATCGGAACGGGCACGGGCACTGGCACGGGCACGGGCACTGGGGAGCTGGAGCGCCTAAGATTGCCAATCGATGGATGCTGATGCTGCTGCTGCTGCTGCTGCTGATGGAGGTGAAGATGGTGTTGGTGGTGGTGGTGGTGGTGGTGCGTTGGATGTCTCTCATGGCCGTGGCTCAGCGGCAGCCGATAGCCGAGCAGATAGGGATAGTCGATGGGTATGGCCCCCGACGATTGACTGGCACTCGCCGCACCAGACGGCGGCGGACTGGATAGATCCTGCAGGCGACTGTTCTTGGCCTGGGTATGTTGCTGCTGCTGCTGCTGTTTTGCCTGCGGATGTGGATGCGAATGCTGCTGCTGCTGCTGCGGATGCGGATGCAAGTGCGGATGCTTCTCCTGACCAATATTCATCAAGCGGCTTACGAACTACAATTAATCGGTATATGTTTTGTTTTGACAATATCGTAGACTAGATACAGGATGTTGTATAGCTGGGTGTGTGTGTGTGTATATAGATTCGTTGTGGTATTGATGCTCCTTTCTCCTCCTCCTCTTTCTCTCCTCCTTATCCGTCCAATTCCCTGCACTGGCTGTAAATATATAAAAAAAGAGGGGAGATTTTTATAAAAAACCGTTGCTAGATGATACAAAATATTCATATGGGAACAAATAATAAATATACTAAAAATATACTGAATATACTGGATAATATACTAGAAAATACTGAATTATAGAAAGGATAATAAATTTATTTCAAGTACAAAATAATTACACTTGTACTAAAAATACCAAAAAATACCAAAAACATAAGAAAAAAAAGCTTCCCCAGAAGAAACGGGCCAGAAATATTCGCAAAAGGAATGCCCAAACGCATAACTGTTAATATTACTGAATTCCCACACAATTCCTTAAGGCAAACCAACTTGTAAGCCCTAGTTTAAAACTCCACACCTTTCGGATATCTACGAGCTGTGTGGCAACGAGTTTTTGTTTTTTTTTTTTGTTTTTTTTTATTTTTTGTGTTTTTTGTTTTTGGGCCTGCCCCCTCAGTGGCCCTTGGGCCATATCTGCTCTTCATCTGAAACATTGTCCCACTATAAGCACAAAAAGTGCTCAAGGAGTTTCCACCGAAAACGAAGCCTAACGAAGTGGCCGGCCGGCAAGACCTCCCAGGCACACATCTCGGGCGATCGGACGATCGGACGTTCGGACAATCGCACAATCGGACGATGTGTGTGCTCTGCTCTCCGTGTGTACATATGATTATTGAAAAGAAAAATATGAATAATGATGTGACAAATTCTGAGTGGACACTTCACGGGGCTCACTGGAGAGCCGGCGAACGCGAGGACAGACACTTAGAGGCCACATACAGAGACACACAGAGACAGTCGCATACAACACAGCAGAGAGAGATCGCACTGGGCCAGTGTTGGAGAGTGGAGAGTGGTTCGTGGAGAGGGAGTGGAATGGAATGGTGTGGTGTGGTGTGGTGTTGTGTGGTGTGGACTGGAGAGCCCGGCGTGACATGACAATGTCCGAGTGCGAGTGCGAGCGCGTCTTCGCTCTTCGTGTTGTCCATGACTGGGGGCCACTTCAAGTTGCCATGTCACATTCTTGGGCACCGCACAAGAGCCAAGATCTCGATGTCTAGTCGACACCGAACCCGACCCCTAGCCCGACCCCTAGCCCAGACATTGGCCAAAAACTGGCTCCGATCGTGATCTTTAAACGCGATCAAGCTGAAGATCGAGATTGCGATCTCTGCGGCAAGATCGCCCGACGAACTGCTAGATGATGATGAGTGCGGATGACGGATTCTTCAATTAACGAACGTTCTAAACTATAACTACTTCCCATGCCTCAGAAATCATTGCAAGTTTTGCTTTGAAAAATACATCACATTGAGTGGAGTGTGTGTAGAATTCCGATGTAGAAATTATCAATACAAAAATAATACAAATAATATAATACGAAATAGTGTCTTCTAAGCCGTATATATTTCACATCTCTTGGACTTAGCAACGTTGCCATATATCTGCACAATATGTGTGTATCCAAAATAAACGCCATTATTCAAGAATATTCCCATCTGTTCAAGATAATTAAGATATTGGTCTGCTGCAAGGGTGCGCCATGGATTATCTTACAAATCCTAATGCCACACATGGAACGAATCCTATTTATAATGTCTTCTGTAAGCTGGGTAAGCATAAATCAAAATAAACAAATAATAAATAAATAAAAAATAATAAATGTTGATACATTTCCTTTGTAGGTCTATCGCTGCTATAGGGATTTTTCCAGGGATTAAAGTTTTTGTTTTAAACTTATATAAATTGTAACAAATATGTCTCGATCCAATAAATAAATTCCGTTTAGAATAAAAGAAATTAAAAAATACTTTTTCCATATTCAATCTTTTCGTTGGTTTAGCTGAGAGTATTTTTTCTGCCGAGCATTATACATAGATTCCTATATGGAAGTTTTCATTACTCTATTATTATATTGCTGACTGTGGTGCTGGCTGTGGGGCTGGCTGTCTGTATGTCTGTATGTCTGTGGACTGTGCCTTTGCATGACACATGTCATCATGCCAAGAGTCATTTAAATGGTATACAAATTGTATTTTAATTGCCACCTGTTCGGTGTGTTGTTCTTTTTGTTGTTGCTGCTGCTGCTGCCGCTGTAATGACATTTATTTCGATTACGTTTCAGTTCAGTCTACAGAATCTCTGGCAACCAGAGATGGAGCAATCGGGGCGACAGTCTCGTCCGCTTTTAATTGCTTTCGGTTGATATTCCATTTTTTTTTTTTCCCTTACCACTCACCTCTTTCCGAGTATATTTATGTTTATTTTTGCTCTGTTCTGTTTTGGCTCGTTCCGAATTCGAGTTCTGACCAAACCAGTTCTGTCCGCCAAAGCCGATCCTCGTGCTACCCGATCGTGTGTGTATGTGCCACCACATCCCCCCACCCAGTAGATTGTAAATATATAGCAGACGACAATTGTGTATCAATCTGATCTGTTATTGCATCAAAGTGACAGTTATTTAATGCGTCAGGTCTATAATTTTGTATGCATAGCTCAGGCGGACATTGTAACCCTGCAGCAGTGCTCACAGCATATTTCCATCTTCCCATCTGTCACACAACAGCTGGCTGATTGCTTTGCTTTGGGTTTTTATTTAAGTTATGCACCAGAAACAATTCAAATAAATTCTAATAAAATTTCACGATTAATTTATCCAATCAGAATGTGACCCAAGCTTGAGCTCATGTTTTATGATGTGGTTTGAGAACACAAATTACAACAATTACAACGATTACAACACGTAAAGTTAAAAAAAACAGAAGCTATTTACATATATATTTATGTTCATCTAATTGTTCAGTTTGGTGTGCCATAAGAATTTTTATTGTCAATATAACAGCAATGCCTGTGCTGTAATTATCAACTATTGCTGGAACTCGAAAAGCAATAGCCTAGGAAAATTATAGAGAATATTAGAGTTGGAAAAACCAACCGATAAGTATTCTCTGACCCATTCATAAGCTTCAGAGAGTAACTTATTTCTGGCCATGAATGGGTTTTATTTCATTTTATTCATTTCCATTCATTAGCTTTTATTTGGGTTCATATATAGCTGATTTCTCTGCTATATATTTGCACGCTATATCCACGCTTTATCTGAACCTTAGCTATACTCCTATATGGATTCTGATGGTCAATTTTGAGGCGTATCCATGTGGCCAGGCGTATCCATCAAACTCTTTTGATGGGGGCATCGGCAGCATGACGGCCGGTCTGGACTCCTTTCAATTTTGAATTTCACATGAAACTCATTTTCGTCTTCACAACAAAATTGCCGCTAAGCTGTGAGACGTGTGTGTGTATGTGTGTGTATCCTAAAGAATGAAAAGAGAAAAATGGCATTCCAGACACCAATCATCTTTATTATTGGGCTTTATCGCATGGAATCAGCAGCAGCATCAGCAGCAGCAGCATCAGAGCCAGTCATAAGGAACATTTTTTTAACGCATTCCGAAGGCCATAAAGCAGAAGCCATAAATGCGTGTTAAAGTCGACCAACAGAAATTTTCAAATGTCAACCATTAAACGCGGCAAAAGGCGATCCGTTCCGTTCCGTTACGATACCAAAATACCAATACGAGACGACTCCAATGCGGAGTGTCCCACAGATCTCGACGAAGGGGTCGGTCCCAGTCTGCGGCTCTATTTTGTAAAACTTAATTTATGAAACACATAAAAAGTGTCAACACGGCTTGCTGCATATGAGATATGTTGGGCAGCCAGCCAAACGCTCAGCACCGATCGCCGTCAAAGCCCCAAGAACCCCAGCCCCAGCTCCAGTCCCAGCGCTCAGCCCCTCAGCCACCGATGTTAATTCCCGATGCCCGATGCCCGAATGTCCCCGGCTATACCCGGAGTCGACAGCGCCCGTGACCACGGCATCACTTCAGTTCTGATTATGAACGCCTCTGATCGCCCCCGACTGCTGCCGAACAGAACAACAAAGCTTAACAAAGTGATTTCAACAACAAAACTCACTTCTTTTTTGTTGTTGTTGTTTCTTTTTATGCAAATGGCTTATGGGATCGTTGACGGAAGCCGCTGGTTGCACCACACCACTCCACACCAAAGCACAGCACAGCAGAGCACAGCACACCAAGAGAGAGCGCCAACAGACGTGGCTCAATGGAAAGGACACGGCACGAACACGAACACGAACATGGATTTTTTGTTTGGGTTCTTTGGAGCCTGAATCTTTGCTGAATCTGGAGCTCTGGTCTCGTCGTCTGGGTTCTCTGGGGGGGTTACAGTGGCGCTACTCTCTGGTCTCTGGTCTCTGTCTCAGCCGATCAGATGTGATGTTTTGGGTCTGACTGCACAGCAGGAGCTCCTCCGTTGTGTAAGCTGCCGCTGCCCGCTGCTGATGCTGCTGCTGGCCCTGTCTGGAGCGTCTGGCTACCCGTAATCCGGGACTTAGACTGTGTAATAAGTGGAATGGTTGGGTTAGGCCCTCAAGCGCACACGACGCGAACAGCCAGCCGCATTAATATGATATCTGCCACGGGAGCAGGGAGGGCGAGCTGTTTAGGCGGAAAGTGTGATGTTGGGGCTACCGGGATCTATCTATGGGATATCTGGACAGAATCTCTGAAATACCAGCCACAGCACAGGGGCACACTTTCACGAAATTAAGTTCGCTTAATGAGCTGTCGGACAGAAGGCCGCAAATGAAGCGCAAAGAAACGCCACAAATGAAGATCTAGGGTTCATGAAATTGGCTGAAAGCATGGAATTTATTTACTACTAAATATAACATAAAAAAAATAGCCATAATAAATATTTAATAATAAGAAGAAAATTTACACAGAAAAAATCAGTTGTGGACAGGATTTGCCGTAATAGTTCAACGTTCGGCAGGCGAATGGAATCAACTGCACTCTGTTACAATCTTTATGTTTGTTACACTGCTTTTGTGTTGTTCAGTTGTTTTGTTTTTTTTTTGTTTTTTTTGGGGCGTCACCAAAGTGATGACCAAACTCTGAGTCCAAGCGGGGAGCAGCACCCAAGCAAGCACTGATCTCTGGGCCTGGCCATGGCATTTTGGAGTGTAGAGGAAACCAAACCAAACCGAACCAAACCAAACTAAATGTAAACCAAAGCGATTTTCAAGTCTCTAGAGGAGCACAAGAGGAGCCATTCTTGTTCGTTGCCGGGAGCGAAACAAACGATTGATTGAAGGCAAGGCAACTGGCAACTGGCAACTGGAGGCAAAAGAGGCAAAGAGGACAAGAAGCGGCGGCGGCGGCGGCTTTGTTCATCTGCTACAAGCATCGCATTTAATGAGATTTATATCAGTTTTTAATAGCTTTGTGACTCTATTGTGTTGTGGCCGTATCTGAAGCGAATCTGGGGCCATCTCGCGGGCTCTTCGCCTCTATAGAGATATAAAAATTAGTTGGTTTGGGGGACATTGTCAAAATGGCTTATGAGTGACCAAACGAACGAACGAAACGAACGAGCGAACCAACGAACGAGAGAATTAGGCTAGCTTTTATTTTATGGCATATACATACATACTACGTATACTTACATCTCAAGGGAGAACCGTAGCCGTAGCCGCGTAGCCGCGTAGCCGCGTAGCCGTGTAACCGTGATCCGACTTTTACTTCCCAAGTGGCTGGACAGTGCTATGGGATCTGAAAGAGCAGAACGAAAAAAAAGGCAAATGGTTATGATCGATGATCCCACGAAATGTCAAATGCTTCGGCACACACACAGCGAACAGAAAACTCCCAAATATATGAGTATGTAAACCATAAGCATCGAAATATTTCACACATCCATGCCAGATATCAATACCGCATCGAATCTCTGCTGGCCGTGCTCTTAAATATCGATTTGGATTTTTGGAACTGCCGCAAATCGCATGCCCCTCTCGGCATACACCCCACACCATCGAAATGGTGTTAATTTAAATCAAATGACAAAATATAATAAACGATCATAATATTTAATCCGAGTCTTCGCTGAAACGATACGACAAATGTGCAAAGTGCCTAGGCACACACGCCAGAAAGAAAAAGAAAAAAAAAAGTCGCGCCATTAGATATCTAACAGAGGGTAAGGAAGGGGTCGCTGCTAGGCGACTTAGAGATGCGCTTATTTCAGAAATTATAATTAGGTATACAAATACAAATACTTTAACAGAGAATATTGAGAATAATCTACTTAGAATATATACATATAAGGAGAAATTAGGTGCATCAAACAGAGACTATGGAGGAATATTCCAACAAGGAATAATCTAAAGAAAATACTCTTAATATATTCAGAAAATATACGCACTAAAAGTACAACCCATGGACACTGCAAACCTTCTCGTAGCGGACATGTGACAGTCAAAACGTTGACACAAACGTGTAAAAAGAAAACCAATTAAATAAGCTAATCAAATAATATTGTCATTAGCACACAGCACAGCACGCAGCACACAGCAACAAAAGAGAAGAAACCAAATTTAAACGGCTTATTAGCAGTACCATTTAGGTATTTTCGTCAGTTTTTTTTTTGGTGGGGGCTTAGACAAACAAATTGAGAATCAGAAGCAGAAGTACCCGACACCCTACACCCTAATAGAAAGGGGTTGTGTCCTAACTACAGTAGTAGGGCCTGCCAAGTGGAGTTCAATGATCTCTGGGTGATGGTTTTAGCAAACCCTTTCGCCCACCCAAACCCCTCCAGCAAATTATTGGTAACCCATTACAAATAATTACAAAACATATGCTGTAACCCATCATAACAGAACAGAACCCTCTCACTCTCGGTACACTGTAGGGCATTGACGGGTTCGTTATTCTTGGCTCTGCTTTTTTTTTTCTACTCGTATTTTGCTTACTTTGTTGGCTTTGATGGCACTTCGACAGTTAACAGTTTTAACTACGCAAACATTGGCGCAATTCATTAGCGGAATTATCGGCCTGGCCCGTGTATTATTTACGACTATTTGTGTGGCATGGGGCACATGTCAACTGCCTGGCAAACAGCAAATCAACATCTATCAAATCTATAACAGATTCCCCCAACCCCACCCCATCCCACCCCAGAGGCCTGATTAATGCCCGCTCATAGCGTTGTGTGGATCGATGTCTGGCTGGCTGTTTGGTTTATTGATTCATTAATGAAATCGTCCTTCGGTCTAACTGCACTTTGCAACTGCATATTTTATGTGTATCCGGTTGGGTGAGAATATACTATTTTCTCCTGCGTCCTGCGATCCCTGACCCACCCAAACCCAAGCCAAACCCAAGCGAAACCCTTCCTGCCTAGCCGCTCTGCCTGGCACTGTCTTTCTGCTAAAGTTCGAGTAGTATTTTCCCCTTGACGTTGTAATTGAATCAATAATAAAATCAAAATGTACGCCGACGATGACTACAACGACAATGACACTTGGGCGGCTGGCTCTGGGGTCTCTGTCCGTAGCCGTATCCTTGTCCCGGTCGGGGTCTCTCCCGTCTTCCATGTTTCCGTGTCATCGTTACGGCATGGCTTGGCAATCGAGCACTTCAGTGCCTCCTTCTGCCACACACTCTCTCTTTGTCTTTCTCTCTCTCCTTTGGCACCCAGGTGGGGTCCATTCGCTGACGAGTCCGAGGTGTATGTTCAATCAATGACTGACTGACTGGCCTGACTGACTGTCTGTCTGTCTTTCCACCTCTCTTTTTGCGTTTTAGAATTTGTTATGTATGTATGTAGTATGTATGTACATATATTTATATGTATATATTTCATTTTTGAACTGTCTCCCTGACAGCCTACGAACGTTTTTTGAGTGACGTACAAAATGATGTCGTGTTGTCGTGCCACGGGACGCGCGATGCGATGTCGACTTCGAGACTTCGACTTTGACTTCGAACCAGGTTGACTTTTTTTTTTTTTTTTTTTCGCTGTCATTCCCCCCATTTCAGTTTTCAATGGTAGTAATGGTGAGGGGTGGGTGGGGGGGCGAACTGTGTGTGACTTTGACTGGAACTGAGTCGAGCGCGATTTTTCGAGTGCGACGTCAAATCGACTAAACTTTTCATTAAAGTCTTTTGAAATTCGGCATTAACCCTTTGGTGAGGCCCGTCCGTCACCCATTCCGTCTATTGGTCGCTCTCTGTGCATCTCTCTCGCTCTCTCTCTCCCTTTCTGTCCCTGTATCCGTCTCTGTCTGTGTCGTTGTCATTGTCTCCACTCTCTCGGCTGGCTGGCTGTCTCTCTCGCCTGTCTGTCTCTTGTTGTCTCTGTCGCCGCTCAAGTGATCCCCCGGCAAGCCATTAGCAGTTGATCCATTGGGTAGGGGAACTGAAGAGGCACAACAGCCACAGCCACAGCCATAGCCACACACACGACTTGACTTTGTCAGCGGCGTGACAATTCCGCATAAATCATAATCCTTGCGCGCACGGCACGGCACACGGTGAACACACGGCACACACAAGGGTTAACAACAACGACGACGTTTGGCGTCGTCAACTGGCGAGGGAACAACATTCTCAAGTTTTGTTTGATGTTATACAGTGGGCACTGGCTACAGGCGAACAATTAACAAGATGAGAACTGGCAGCAGACAAACTGACAATCAACACACACACACAAAGTAAAGCAATAAATACATATAAATAAATAAATACATTGTAATATAATTATTTAAATATATATTTTATAATTTTATTATAGTTTTATTATTAGGAATATTATCTTAGGAATTCAGAGATGAGATACATAGATGGGTAGTACAGATTCATAGAAGTATCTACTGTCTACTGCCCCACATGTAGAGATTTATTTGTACATATATTAAAGCCATAAACCCATCCACATTTACCCTAAAATAAAAACGAATAAAAATTAGTTCAGTACAAAAAAAAAGGAAAATAAAACTATTAATGTTGAATCTTTTTTAAAATTTAAAAGAAAAAAAAATTGGAGTAGATTTTTAAATTTTTTAAATTAAAAAAAAAGATTTTAAAGTTTTTAAAAAGATTTTTAAAATTTTTAAGTTTTTCATTTTTTACCATTTGATCATTATGGAATTGTTACAGTGAGACTCTAATAATGCTTCTGCTCCAATTAGGTTCATTATTGGCAGCGTCCACTGTATAATCTTTGCTCACGCGCTCTGACTCTTTGGCTGTGACTCTCTCCGGAGCTCTGACACTGCAACTGACACTGGGACAGGGACTCCGACTGGAACTGGGACTTGGGGTCTGGGTGTGGGAATGGGTATGGGTATGGGTTTGGGGACCTGGAACTGCGACTGGTGACTGCGGACTGTGGACTGTGGACTGGCATTCGGCGGTTCGCGTTTGCGTTTCTTTGAAAGGCACCCGTCATGGCAGTGTCAGTGTTTATATGCCGGCCGAGCCAGCGACCGTCCAGGGCCTCATACAAGGTAGACAGGCGCTCAGTCAGTCCCCAGTCAAGCCATCCAGCCATCCAGCCAGCCATCCAGCCAGTCAGTCAGTCAGTCAGTCACAAAGGAAGCACTTGAGAACTGAACATGTTAACGGGGAAAAATAGTTGGTCGCCTCCTCCAAACCAAACCAAACCGAAACCAAACCAAACCAATCCCCGGTTCCAGGCCCCCAAAATGGAACCCGGAGAGCGTGTCTGTGTGTGGAAGGTGCATTGTGTCGCCCGAAAACACTTGCGAAAGGCTCTCGAGAGAGCCTGTCAATCCCGAAAGGCAGCCAGCGAATAAGGCAAACAAATGGGTGGTGAAGCAGCAAAGGGAGACCCAGAAACAAGTGGTGAAGAGAAGTGAAGAGGAGAAGAGAAGAGCATTTCGAGTGGTAGTCGGGCAGTCAAAGAGTTGGATATATACTCGTCGTATTCGTATTTCGTAGTCGCACTCGTATTCGTGTGGTTATGGCTGGAAGGGTTATGTTATTAGCTCTCGTCGCGGTACCAGTTTTTTTTTTTTTTCGTTTTTATCCAGGGGCGTTCCCTCTGTTCGGACGGCATTAAATGATTATCTGGCTATGGCTTTGGCTCTGTCATGCCACTGAAGATCTTGGTCTGGCGATCGGTGGTATTGGGTCTCTTAAATTATGCGAATTTCATACTTGAGGGGCCCAATGTCCTTTATTATGTTTATGTTGAAGTTATTTCTCGTATTTCGTTGCCGTTGCCCCTTCGTTTTTATCTGATATCGGTGGTTATTACACACACAATTTGAAATGTAACTTGGTTTTTTTTTTTTAATTTTTGGCTTAGGAGCAGCTGGAAACGTTTTAGCGTTTCTCAATACTCAAAAAATTAGTCTTCAACTTTGTATGTTTAGCTGCTGGCGAAGATAACTTGGAATTGGCGTGAATTTATTTTAGCTTAAAATCTATAAGATCTTTTCTTTTATCTAAGACTTCCCCCCCTAGAAGTTTATTGATTTGCACACCAGGATGTATTTTTTTTTTTTTTACTGACAGATGAAAGATGTTTGGGCTGGCAAAAGCGGAAGTATACGGAGCGATGAGTGATTAGTTATTGGTTTCAGCAGCTGGCTTGGAGTTTTCCAACGACTGGATGCAAATGATCTTGCGGGAGAGAAGATCACTTATTTTGCAGCACTGTTTTTTTTTTTTTTATCGGCAA